TAGTACACACGTGCGTACTATTTGAGCGTGCGAACTATTCTGATTTTCAGGAGCTACTTCGAAAAATCGAGTTTTCCAGGGAAAGTTGAATAGTACATACGTGCGTTTTGTTCGGGGGAAGACTGTAGTAGTTAGTAGTAGGCCTCAGGGGGGTTAGTAGAGTTAGCAGTAGGTGTATTCAGAGTTGGTCCTTGAGTAGTAGGGAGTGTGAGTGCATGTAAGTAGGGAGAGAAGACACAGGGAGGTACTAGACAGAGAGAAGACCAAGAGAGAAGAAGAGGAGTACATCGGGAGAGATGCTTGCCTGAGTGGAGATACTGGTTACTTGGGTTTGCGCTGTTGAGCACCTATGACTAAAACTCTTAATTGCTTGTATGATAATTTGTTGGAACTCTAAAGCTGCGCTTACCTGGTCTTCGTTTCTCTGGCCTCCATTGTGAACTTCGTGCGAACTCATTCGTGCATGGTGTGTGTTTGTGTGCACTCATTGGTGGTGAACTAAGAGGTTCATTGCATCAGCCCTACCAACCACAAGGTTCCTGTACCCCTCACCCCACACACACCCGAGAGATGAGACAGCCTTTTTACCCCAGTGGTTCGAGATGCACACGAGGGGGAACACACCTAGACATACTACCCACTGTGACTCCCCTCCACTATGAAGGCCCCCCTCTAACCGGGAAACCCATGGTACCCAGACGTCTAGAGAGAGGCCTCCCTAGGGCGAGGCAGGGAGTAGGAGACCTAGGGTTCTCTGGGCCCGCGTATTATACTAGGGAGAGGCAGGGAGTAGGAGACCTAGGGTTCTCTGGGTCGGCGTATTATACTATAGTAAGTACTTGCTATGTGCCATCGAGGTTCAAGCACGGTTCGAATGGGGGTTATTCAATGCTCATTCAATACCATGTACAATGCTACTACGAGCAGTTGCTTCAATTCTAGCAGGGTCCGTCTATAGGTGCGATCATATCTGCGACCAGATACCATGGTAAGACCTTCCACAGACAAGCTAGCCCTTGTGTACCACCCCAAGTGATCAACTAACTCCTGAATGCACAACCCTCTGGACCTCCCCCCCCGCCCATGGAGTGACATCCACAAGAGACCTAAGATCATCGGAACCATGAGCAAACCAAACCCCGAAATAGCCCTCTCCCAAGCCCATTCCAGCATACAACAACCATGGCCAAGGACCCCTTGGGCGGTGCGCAGGCAGTGTCTGTATAAACTTACCATGCGCCGTCCCAAGGGGAGTGTGCGAAATGGCTGGGTGCTATGAAAGTGCCTAACGGCGGACGTGCGCGAGGCCGCAGAGTTTTGAACCCGCAACCTCGTACCACAATGCGCATTTCCAGACAGTGCTCTAACCACTGAGCCACCAGGCCATTCGTTGATCAACTTTATCTCACTTTGTTTTGTTTTGTTTGTTTTTTCACACCGATGGCGCTGCACTTCGATTTTTTGTTGAAGTCAACTGCCACCTCGAACTTTCATTGATGTCCACTCTTCCGCTTCGAAGTTACGTTGACAATAACCGTTACTTCGAATTTTCATTGATGTCAACTGTTCTGCTTCGGTATTTCATCGACGTCAACCCTCACTTCAAATTCCCGTTGATGTCAACTCTCCCGCTTCGAAATTTCTTTGATGTCAACCCTCACTCCGAATGTTTATTGATGCCAACTCTCCCACTCCGAAATTTCATAGACGTGAAGTACATCGTCAACCCTCGCTTCAATTTGTCGTTGACTGCGCTGATACCAGTTTGAAATGGGACTCTCACCCATGCATCATCCATGTCCAAGTGAGCGTGGAGATATGGAAGTCATTCCAGACTCATGAGCATCAAGTTTGCCTTCTTCCTCAAAATCGCCACACAGTTGAATGAAACTTCAGAATTACAGTTGCCAGATACCGCACACACACACCATGAAGTCATAGATGATGCAGCTATGGCGAGCCGGCCCCACAAATATGCCACACACTTGCAAGTTCGAGATAGCCGACCAGGCACATTTACACATTTAGGTTCAAGTTGAAACTTCCCACCAGACTAGCCCTGCTACTTGCTGATACAAAGATGCAGATCAGAGTCAACGAAGTCTTCGTGTGCTACAATCCCTACTATACAGGCATGTCTCCTCTCCTCTCGCTATCTCCCTAGGATCTCTCTCTGGACATCGAAGTGACACTCCTCGTTGATGGCTCACTTTCCACCAAGCAACAGCTCTCTCCTGCACTGCCCAACACAACAGCACGATCCCACTTCAAAAATTACAGAAAACAACAACCAGCACATAGCAACATGATAGCCCTGCTGCTTCAGCTATGGCGTTCTTCGACCACACAGCACACTGCTTGATTTCATGAACCAGCACCACACCGAATGAATGAATCCAGGAAATGACGAGCTGAAGAGTTTTGTATCCCGGGGTACTTGCTCCGTTGCCCTGGAACACACTCGAGAATCTTGCTGGAGGCACACACTACCGCACGAATGGTACCAAGCATGGACTTTGCGCACATACAAGAACAGGTCTCAGGCTCAAGACTCCACCGGCTCAGTCAACGCTCCCAACACATGGTACATCCACAGGTAGCCACACAGGTAAGTCAACGTAAAGATTCCGAGTTCAGAACTCGGCAGCAACACTCAGCCGTACAATACAGCACGACAGCCAACAGCAACAGCAACAGGTCTCGGGATTGAGCCACGGCAGGCTAGGGGGTGAAATTCTTTCAGATTGTTTGTTTAAAAGTTAAAACGGAAGCTTCCTAATGCTCTGCATGTCATCTTGAATGCTGTTTACTAGAGAACTTTAGACACATTTGCATGCTGTTTACCCGAGAACTTCGGACACATTTGCATGCTGTTTACTAGAGAATTTCAGGCACATAGGGCCTAGCACTCAGCAAAGGAATTGCATGAAGGGTTTAAATTGATGCTCAGCCTGGACAAACGGATCTGATTCACAATCAGTGGTGACTTGTTTCAGAGTGGAGGATGCAATCATGCAAATGCTCTCCAAGAAGATGCTGCTTAGACACAAAGCAAATTTACTACAGTTGGTCTCCCTAAAGCACCACTACCTTTCCCGCTGTTGGGAAAATGGGAAGATATCCTACTCCTAAGAAATCGGAGGCCGGGCCCAACGACAGCCGCCGTGTCGTTTCAGCCTCCTAAAGATTTGAGGGCGCAACGGTGGCCTACATGGGATGCGTGCATACCTGCGCTGTCTATTTGATCAATGACAAGTTCTGTCGTGTTCGCTATACACAACTCGACAAAAAAAGATTTGACCATGTATGTGTGTGTGTATGTATGTGTTGTCATGTATACACACAAGTCCACAAAAGAATAAGCATGACTGTGCAGGACATGTTTTGTTCGACTTTCACATGTGCTGACCCTTTGACCGTGCGTTGTCATGTTAGCTATACAAACTCCACAAACAACAGCTTTGACTGTGTGTTTGTCTGTGTGTGTTGTCATGTTCACTGTACACCACTCGACAAGTACATCTTTGACTGGGTATGTGTGTGTGTGTGTGTGTGTGTGTGTGAATTGTCTTGTTCACTGTACATGACTCCACAAGTACATCTTTGACCGGGTATGTGTGTGTGTATGTGTGTGTGTTGCAGAGAGAATACAAGGGTGGGTATTCAGTACTTGGCTGCATGGCTGGCAGGGACAGGGTCAGTCCCTCTTTACAACCTAATGGAAGATGCTGCCACTGCTGAGATTAGCCGTGTCCAGAACTGGCAGTGGCTTCAGCATCAAGTGGTGCGTCAATTAAGCATATGTACCTCATCCTACCTCTCATGCTCTCCTTCCCACACTCGTTCCCTTGTCCATTCCTACCTTATCTTGACAGTGTTTCTGGGAGAAGGTCAAATGATCAACCCGAGGCAATGATGGCGTACTAAAAGCATCAGTGTTTTCACAATAAATGAGTTCAAGCACAACGATTGACAAATTCAGTCTGGAGTCGTGACTGTTGTGGGGAATGGAGTAGGAGCAGCTCTGGAGTCGTGAACTTGTCGGTAAGTGTGGGAGGAAGTTTCTGAGAGAAGAATGTTGTTCTTATGATCAGTGCACATTTCTCTCTCTTGGGCAAAGTGTGAGAGAACATAGTTCCGGTTAGTTATTGTAACCGTCAAGGAAGCTCTCTCAGCCATTGTGAACATATTTGATTATGCCAGAACTCCATGATTACTCCATTACTCTATTACTCTATCACTTTCACTCTAGTGCACTACTTCATTACTCCATTACCCCATTCATTACTCGATCACTCAGTTACTCTGTTATGCCATTACTCCACTAATTCACTTTGAATAGGCCTCCTTTCTTGTTTTCAAATTTACGCCTAACATTCGGGGAACCAAAGAGGCTCCGCCCAAACGCCTCTTTTTCTAGAAATTCAGTGCTGAGTTGAACCACCCATCGTTCATAACGTTTACTTGTCTGAAGAGTTGGGACTCTACCTAAACGCCCTCACTTTGCCTTGTGGTAAGCGTTATGATTTTCAATCAGCAGGTTGCAGGTTGGATGCCTGGAGGGAGCATTTGCGATTTTTCAGAACGATTGGATTTCACGCCTGGAGGGCAATGATATGAATGAGCCCTCACGCAGCATGCTTTAAGCTGCCGGGAGATTGTAACCGGTTTGGTTGGCATCTGAGCCCCCTTGAGCTACTGGCACAAGGAGGGCTACTTGGTTGAAGTTGTGTCCGGGTACACCGCGTCATGGTGGTATGTCATGTATTAACCATGCTGGGGTCGGATGAAATTTGCATCTGCGCCGTTTCATCCCAGCTCACTTTGCCTTGTGGCAAGCGTTCTGATTTTCAATCAGCAGGTTGCAGGTTCGATGCCTGGACGGAGCGTTTGCAATTTTCAGAACCATTGGATTTTGCGCTTGGAGGGCAATGATATGAATGAGCCCCTTTTTCTAGAAACTCAGTGCTGAGTCTAACGACCTGTAGTTCAGAACACTATTTGTCTGAAGAGTCGGGCTTTCCGTTTTGGACCCCCTGAGCAGCGCTTTGATTCTTAGTTCATTGGGTCATTTCTCACATTCCCCCATTCTTTTCAGACATTTTGTTTTGCTTGTTGGTGTCACGGCCATATTGTCCAGCTCACCCAATGACTGCTGGTGCAACTATGAGCCATAAGATGATGATTCCATCCTCTGCCTAGCGCATACAGCGCTCACAGAGATGGTGGGAAGAGGGGATGGGGAAACACATGAGTCAAGAGGTGCCAGATATCGGCGGGCTTGTCACGGCCGCTGCCATCATGATATTGCTGAACGGACCGAATGATTGCAGGTCAGCTATTAGTCGAGAGACGATTCGCTCGGAACCATCCTCTTTGTGTACATGTGGCAGGGAGGAGGAAGGGGGGAAAGGAAGGATTGAAGGGAGGGGTAAGATAGCAGCAGCCTCCAGCACAGGGCCCCTGTTTGCAGCCTCAAAAACTGACCTCTATCTCCAGAGTTTGGGTGACAGGTTATGGAGCGTATATTTTCCCTCCGAGGTGGATAGCCCTTAGTCTATTATGCAATCAGACTGGCTTTCTTCTTCACTTCGCATACATGCAAACAAATGGAAATTCACACTGGCGTTGTGCGCCGACACAAAGCTCAGAGATATGCAAGTCGAGATCACAGTTTGGATACAAACTCGCTTCCACTGGCTATGGCGCCTGAGCGCTCACACATCCTCTGTCCAACACTGTATTCACACAACCGTGCCACGCACTCGACTCTGGATCTCCCTGGATATCCCATGCGCACCAACTCAGTACACAACACACACACACACACACACGCTGGACTCTGCCTTTAAGCTACAGCGGCTATGGTCGTCTAACCCCTACTGGCTATGGATACTCTATCTCCCTTCAGCCCACTTCGACCTCGGGCATCTGCTGACCACCTTGCACAAGACGCTATGGCAGCGCTTCCGCATGGCTCACGCAGGAATGAATGAATGGCTGGACGCTGCCTCTTGATTTATACTTCTGTAAGTCGCTGATCTGCCCTTTTCCATCGGGCCCATGGTGCACACAGTCCCTCATGGTACTTGCTGACTGTACAAAGTGAGACTGGGACTGGGTACCGCTGACTAAGTGAAGTTGGACTCACCACTTGCCCACTTGCCTCTGGTCTGCTGTGAGAAACGTGAGAAAAACTCGAGAGGCCACTTCCGGACCTTCCGGACTTGGCCTTTCGGAACTGTACCAGCTACGACCTTGACCTTTCAGGACTGTAGCAGCTATGACCTTGACCTTTCGGAATTGCTAAGCTACGGCCTCTACACAAATATGACCCCTAGTCGACGGACCTACAGATCGAACCCCTACAGCTACACAGACCTACGACAGGCAACAGTCAACTACCAAAACACAGGTCACGGGTTCAAACACACAGGGGTCGACTTGGTACTGTACATGGGTGTGGTAAGGTCTAGGGATCAAGCCCTGGGATTTGCATCTGCTACTGCTAAGGTGAAAACCGTTTCACTCCCGCCGGCCTAAATTCGAGGTCCTCCGAGAATACTTCAGTCTAAGGCTGGACCTTTATCTTTCCTATCTCTCTCATAGGCGCGAACTACATCAGGAGCGGTCTCAAGAAGTTCTGTTCATGTAAACCAGTGGTCGTCCTCTGGTTCCTGAAAAGCGAACCTGACCTTATACTGTTTCTGTGGATGACCCCTACCTCCTGTTCTGAAGACATCTTCACCTATGATGCCGTCAATGTCATACCTTCCATCCATGTCTGGAGGAATCATGGACCTCCGTGATGGAAACTGTTGACTCGTGGTACAAGGCAGCAACTTTGACGCATGAAACGCCGGGTAGGTGTGGACATGTGCTGGAATCTCGACTATGTAGGACGGTCCATCCTCTCCGCCCTTGACTTCTAAGACTGGCCACGGTCCTCGGTATGCAGGCAGTAACTTTTGTGAGATGCTCTCCTCAGGAGCAAACTCTTCAGACTTGACGCAGACTAAGTCGCCTACTTGAAACGGTGATGGGCGACGGTGCTTATTGGCTTGCTCTATCATTCTATGCTGGTCCTTCCTGAGGTTCTCTACTATGGTAGCAATGTCTCTCTCATGTTGTATCGCGAACTCCCTAGTTCCGGGTGGTAGCCTTTGAATCTGATCCCGGTTGGGTCCCTCAAACGGTCTACGCGCTCTAAAGGACTTCTGAATTTCGTTGGGAGTGCGACAAGTGGCTGAGTGCACACTGTTATTATAGGCACTGGCTACCTTTGGGAGCATCTCATCCTAGTTAACTTGGTCGGGTCTAATGTACATTCTTAGAACCTGCTGCAGGACTTTGTTCATCTGCTCAGTCTGACCGTTGGTCCCTAGGTGACGGCCGGATGACATCAACAACTTAGAGCCATACACTCTCATTAGTTCCTGCCAGTTCTGAGGAGTGAACCGGGTATCTCTGTCACTAGCTATAGACAGCGGTAACCCATGGTGACTGACCCAATAATAAAAAAACTTTTGTATTACTAAGTCTGTACATGCCTCTGACGACAAAGAAACAAACACTGCATACTTGCTAAATCTATCAACTATCACCATGACTTGGCTCTTGCCATGCCTACTCCTGACCCCGGCGTCCATGAAGTCAATGGACGCACTCCGGGTCCTGCGGCCCTGCGGGAATAGGCAAGGGTCTGAGAAGACCAAGAGGGGCTCGTGTAGTGGTCTTATTTCGCTGGCACACCTTACAACTGTGTACGTACTCTATGCAGTCAGCCTTCATGCCAGGCCAAGTATATGTGCGTATAAGGTTGGCTAACATCTTCTGCCAACCAAAATGTCCCTCTGTGTCGTGGCATTCCCCTAAGATCAAACCACGGATCTCTTCACTGTTGGGAATGCATAAGCGGTCAGGTACGCTAGTGTTCTCGAACAGTAAGCCGTCAGTAGTGCGGTAGTCTGGTTCAGTCTCTGGAGCCTCCTTAACTCTTTTGAGGAGATCGCTATAAATAGGGTCCTGCGCATACGCTTCCTTAACTTTCTTTTGTCGGTCTCTCCCTATATCCCGATAGTGAACTATTGCTCCGAAGTCACCAGCCCTCCTATTCCGAGCGTTCGCGACTACTTTATACTTCCCTTTACCTGGTTTGAGCTCAAAGTCAAACTGATCTATCTCGGCGGCCCTCCTAGTCAGCTTAGGTGTCATCTTGGCTTGCGTCTTCAACCACCTTAGCTTCTCGTGGTATGAATACACTTTGAAGTACCTCCCAGTGCTTCTAGTGGTCTAATGCGTGCCTGAGAGCGTAGAGTTCCCTCTCATAGGTAGATGTCGCTACCTTCTCTGAAGGCATCCTAGCAGATATGAACTCTATGGGTCTATACCCATTGCCATCATCTTGCTGTAAAAAACACCTATACCATACTGACTTGCGTCGGTGGTGACGACAATAGGTAAAGACGGATCAGCTACCTTGAGGACTGGATACTCTATCAAGGCCCGCTTTAACTTCTTCAAGGCCGACGTACAGTCTCTATCCCATTCCCAGATTGCATTTTTCTTTAACAACTTGTGAAGGGGTGCAGCGATGGTGGAGAAGTTCCCCACGAACTTTCTCTAATAGTTGGCTAGGCCTAGAAACGACCGCAATTTTATCAATGTGCGGGGCGTTGGACAATCTCTGATTGTTGCTATCTTACTGTCCTCAGGTTTTGTGCCATCTCCATCTAAGACATGGCCCAAGTACAAGACTTGTGTCTTGGCTCATTCGCACTACTT